TGCACCCATTAGAAAGTTGTGCAATATAAAGCAAGATAGCACAATTTCTGTGACCGTTCCTACAAAAAAGTGTGATTTTGTTCCTCCAGATATGATAGGAAATCTTTTTTTCAGCACACCAAATGATCTCTCTATGACATTCCGTAATGTCGCATGTCAAAGGTTAAATAATTCTTCAGGATTCTCTAGACCGCGTCTAGAGTATTCTTTCAAATGATACCGAACTCCTCTATATAGTGTTATAAGTCCACTCCGTAACATGTAATCAGCATCAACTAAATAATATTTCCCTACCAAAAGAAAAATAACAATTTAGTTTCAATTAAAATTGATTATATTACAAGCATTAATTTCGCAACAGCTTTACCATCAGGAATAATAAGCATGTCTTCCTTTTTAAAGCATTTTTTATAACTCTTGAATCTGATGATATTCCTTCCCATCCTAGTAACACGTAAGTGAATTTCATGTCAAAGTCACATGTTGCCATGACATTTTGTGTGGGATAATCTTTCCTTCCACGATATCGTGGTGCATCCTCTTCAGACACTTTCACACGAATATGTGTTCCATCAATTGCTCCTACACAATCCTAAAATAAGAATAACCTTAATTTCATATAAAGAAGCATGTATGTAGACTACATATAATGTATAGTTAAAATGGTTACCTTACCTTAAAGTATGGGTAGAATCTGTTACTATTTAATATTTATTGTGGCACCTCAACTCCATTAGGTTGTCATAGAAATTGATCTTCTAAGGAAATAATCGCTCGTAACACCTCATGAAAATGTCTGCTTATTGTCTCTCCAGAATAGCGAAAGAAGAAAAACATGGTGCGATTTTTCACATTATGTGCTAATAGATATAGAAACTTAGCCACTTGCTCCTCTATTATGGAATTTTTATTATCCTTGAGGCGACCGGATTCCCGAAGTATATCACACAATGAAGCAAATGCAAATGGACTCATTCGTATTACACCTCGACATTTCTCATTGGCACTAAGTTGTTCCATGAGTTCATTCCTTACATTTGCATTATGACTACTAATGTTTCTTAGGCTTTTATCAACATAATTGGAAGCATCATATAATTCCATTATATATATAGCTTCTACCATAAAACAAACAAGTTGGACAACAGCCATACGTCTCTGTCTTTCCCAACTACTCATAAACCTTGTAATATTTTGTTGATATGTTTGTATGAAATTCTCTTCCAAACTTTCCTCTTTAGCCATCTATTTAGCATAATTTACTTTCAATAAAAAAAAGTGACTGATAATAATGCAAATTAAATAATACATGAGTAGGATAAGTAGCACAACACAATGTTCAAACACTTGTAGCATACCTAAGATAAATAATTGCACATAGAATAAAAATAACACACACAAATGACGAAAATTAGAAAGTAAAATGAAACTAAGTAGTCAACTTCATCATTGTTTTTTTTTTTTCATCTTTCTTTAAGTTACAAAATTATCAAATCTTGGATAAATAAATGTTTTAGAAGTATCTTACCATTGCAATAAGAAATTTCCTTCAAGACTTCAGCAAGCTTCAGAGCAAACTCTAATGAACACAAAAATAAACCCACAATATAAAAAATTAATGGTAACTTTGGTCTAGAAATCAAGCTAAAAAGAAAATTTTTAATTTTCTTTTTTAAAATATTATTGTCGTTCTTTTTTATTATTTTAAGTAACATTGTTGTTGTATAGTTAAAAAAAAAAGCTCCATCAGGAAATATTAATATGATTGTTATGTGCAAGAGCAAAACCAGAGAACTAAAAATTAGTATAAACTTGTTCAAATTCCATCAACTTTATATGAAAACATTAGCAACTCAACTAGGAGGAAACAACATTGAACGATTATTAACCATGTAGGGGGGAAAAAGGCCCCTGTTATATTTGCAAATATTGACAGTTCATAACACCATTATATATGTCATTAGCAAATATTACTACAATAATAAAAAAAAAAAAAGACAAAAAAGTCGTGTTGCAAAAAGATACCTTTGGATTTATCTTGGCCATTGATGGAGCTCTGGATATTGGAGTTTTCTGGAAGGCAGACATCATACGGAAGAATTAGAAGATTTGATATAGAAGAGGGTTCTTAAAATATCTAGGAGTGTTGAGGAAATTTTTAAATTGACACAGGTCAATTTAGGAATAATGGTCATTTTTTTCTTTAACCCTTTCTAGTCTGCCCATTTTTGGAAGGATGAGAATTTGTGAGCCCCAAGAAATTTACAACCCCTTGCTCTTTCCCCTCCTCCCCTCTTTCCATCCTACCAAACAAGGTTGAATTTCACTTCCAACTCTTAATCCATCCATCTACCATTCCTTCCCTCATACCAAACACATCGTTACTGCCAAAGATGCCCTCTTGGTTTTCGTGCTTTTTACTTCCTTTTTTTGCGACAAATGCCAAACGATTTCCTGAATAAATTAAGCTCGTTCGTCTTCTAAGATTTAAGTTTTTAATTTGAGTTGAGATGTAATATTTTTTAAAAAATTTTAATTGTAACAAAAAAAATTAAATGTGATATTTTTTAAAAAATTTTAACTATAAAAATTTAAAATTTAAAATTCAAATCGATAAAATTAAGGAGTCCTTAACTCCATTAAGCTTGGCAGGAAAAGTTTGAGTATCCCGTGTGGGTTACTCTCACAATTGACGCGGCTTGATTATACAAAAGAAAAAAAGCATTCCAATTCGCTTAAAATATGTCACGTTTCAACCTACTCCGGACTTTAAGACGTACTGTTATGTGCTCTAAGATGTATTATTGCGTGCTCTAAGACGTATTGTTGCGTGCTTTGATCTATAATATTTTTTAGGTTTACCTGCTCAATTTTGAAACGTGATATTTTCTACACAAATGCAGAATTGTTACTTATTTTAAGCTTAGATGCAATATTTAGTCGTCAATAAATGCTTTTCACTCTAAATAAATTAGTTAGCCATTAAATCTTAAATATATTTTCTCTTATGGTAGTTGCTCAAAAGCAATAAAACATAAGGGGAAAAAGTGGAGAACAGACTCAAATTCAATCGAGTTAGTTAAGAGTTCATAGAAATTGTCAAATTCAACTTTTTCACATGTGCTGCACGTGCTAGTATATATAAAAAATAGCATATCTCAAAGTTTAGGGGATAATTCTGCATAAATATTATCGATCAGAGGGCACAACATGTAAGTTTTAAAGTTCGGAAAGTACATTGATATAAGTAATATAGTTAAGGAGAGATTTGTAAAATTTATCCAAAAAAAAAAGAGAAAAAAAAAACATAATTACACTAATGTTGTTAGTAATGTTCTTTCTTTTTCCCTCTTCGTCTTTCCCACTCTTAACGACAAGGAAACAAATTGAAAGGTAAATTGGGACAATCTGATGGTGACTCATCCTTACCAAAACGTTTCCAGGTAGGTTTTACTTGCTGATAAACCAAAAACTCAGTCCCAAAAGGTCACGAAGACTAAGTGCTAGTGAGGTTTTCAAGGCACTCTTGACGGATGAACCATATCCTAAAAGTCAATCTATTTATAACCAAAGCCAACAACTTTTGAAGTTTTGAAAACCCCTTTACCTTGAAAAGCAGCTCTAACATAATCCTTTTTTGACCTTGGAGTAGAACTTATGCATTACTGGCACAGATGCAACAGTAAGCACAGTGGAAAATGCTCACATCTTCCACCTTTTGCACGCAGAAATGAACAAGTCATCGGCAAGAACCGCCTTCTTCAAGAGTTGAGAAATACCAAAGCTTCCCTACATGCAAGCAGTCTGCAAAGAAACATCTCGGAATACCCTTGGGTCACATTGAATCTTCCTATGGTTTTGGAAAATGCTTGTAAGGTTGATGGCTACCGCATACCTAATCGACAAGGCACCCGAGTGTGCGAGACAACCATTTGGAGTTCAAACCTGACGGGTTTTTGATCGAGAAGAATGCAAGAACTGAACCATAGGAGCAATGTCTTTGAGCTCCTACCATTTGGGGCGGTCTAAGAATGGGAGTCGCACTCGTTGAGAATAAGTGCATTTTGAGTGTGCTTGTGTTCGAGGTGCTTGTACATTTCAAGTGGCTGCTGTGGCTGGATGCTCATCAGCTGAGTATGGGTGAGGTGTTCGGGCTCATTCTGCAGAAGGCAGAGCCACTTGTGGCAGCGGCACTGCAGAGGTTGCAACCCATGTTGATTTCTAAAAATTCACATTCAATCAAATTCAATTGAGGTCGCTTATCAGTTAAAATTGGATTGTATTGAATTAGACAGGTCGGTTTGATCTGTTTCGATGAACATCCCTAGCTTGCTTTCCAACTTCAAATATGTTATGACTATTGTCTGATTGTCAGCATTCCGCATCAGGAATAAATTCATTTAGGATTTACATTGCCAAATTGCTTGTAAGAAGCTCACAATCCGCTGGTCCTTGTAACATTGGTTCTCAGAATTTTCCAATTCTGTCACAAGGACTCAACTGAAAGAATTTTTGGTAAAAGAATACAAAACCTCATTCGCTTTGCAAATTCGAGTTTTCGATTCGAGCTGAGATGTGATATTTTCTGAGAACTTTTAACTGTAACAGAAAGTTAAATGTGACATTTTTTGAGAGTTTTTAACTGTAGAAACCTAGAATTGAAAACTCAAATCAGTGAAATTAACGAGGCATGAAATAACTTAACAAAGATATGATAATTCAAAACAATGTCCCACTGGTAGTTTATTTATACGTATGCTACCAAATAGTTCTCAAATTCAAATGTCCTGCAGAAAGAGAACTAAGAACACTCGTGAGACCCAATAAGATCCAGCTAATCATATCAATTGCTGAGAATGAATGCTCGTGATGCCCGTGAGCATATCTCTATTACAAGGATCACTAAAACATGTCTTTCTTTATTTTATTTTTTATTTTTTCCCAATTCAAAAAGCACAGATTACAGAATACAACTAAAACCAAAACTATATGTAACATACTTGTAAAACAGTAGGTCAATAACATTGATAAGAAAGAAAATATTTACACGTTTTTCTCAAGGAAATATTCAAGCATTTCACTCTGATAAGAGTCTGATTTCTGGTATACAAATTGACAGCTGTAACCTACAATACAACACTAATCTATTTTCCTCCCTCAGTTCTATTTAAATAACTAACACAATCAGATTATTGGTACTATTCTTTTAAACCTAAGAAATACAACATATCCAGGTGAACATGTCTGAAAGCCACAAGAACTATTTACCTTGTTTACTGCGCACAACGGTACACCAATTGCAATATCATCTGATCATATACTTGGATTGTTGTGTGATTCGGGATTATAGTGACCATTCAGTAAGGGGGTAGAGTCTGTCTTCGAAATAACTTCACAAGCAAGAAAAAGAGTGCTTTTCACTCCCGTGGCCGGGCAAGCCAAAGAGAACTAAGGGCTCGAAGACGGGAGAAATAATCATTTATTGCAAGCAGGGCACGGGCTGATTGTCGGGTTGTCAATATGCGATGCATTTGTTGTAGCGTTTGTTGGCGCAAATTATCAGCCTGGTAATCAGACAAGAATAATTTAAACCTAAGTAGAACGTTACAATAAAACATCCCCAATACTAATGATTGATAATGTCAGTGTTATATGCAGTTGGATCAAGAGATATTATGCAAGCAAAACACAGTATTCAACATAATGAAATGTTAAATCACAGTAGACATTTTGAACCTTATGAAAGAGAACTACTACATGTCTACATATATGAAATCAGATTTCTTAACAAACCAATTGAAAAATGTAGAGAAAGGAAACAACTAAATAAAGATTTATTTATTGATCATCATCATTATAATTGTCTGCTGAAGAAAGAACTAAATACGTTATATGCAGAAAGCTCAAAAGAAAGCATTTATTTCGAGAGAAGAAAAAAAGAATACTTTGTTTACTCAAACACAATTCAAACGATGAGAGAAGTTTATAGACTTGTCCAAGAAGTTCCAAATCATGAGAAGAGAGTTTAAGTAAAACAGTTTTAATATTATACTATTACAAGAAATAAAAGTGACAAAAATGAGAAAACCTTGGTTAGCAGGTTCCAATGACAAAACATTATGCATATTGCATTTATGACAAAAGAATTTGGTGTAAACATCAAAAGCACAAATGTCAAAAAAAAAAAAAAAAAACAAAACAAATTGGCGCCCATGCTCACAAATTTTGAATTCTCAAGTTCTCACCAAACAAACAACTAAAAAAGAATTTATTTATAAGTTACCAGTGAAAGATTACACTACATATACATGATGGGAATAATAAAATTTCCACTTTAGTGCCATCATGTTTCACGGTTTTTTTTTTTTTTCCTTTTTTTGGGGCACCCGTTACTCAGTGTACTAGTAGTGACCAAATCAGAGGAAAGTTGTAGACACGGGACTGGAAATAAATCATAATATCAAAAAAAGTAGAATCGGTATCTTACCTGGCGAAGGAAACCCTCAAGAGTTCCTAGCTTTCCCATGGCCATTGCCATTTGACCCATATAGTTTGCTACATTCCCTGATGATCCTGATGGTCCAGGCGAGCCGCTCGCCAGGGTTTCTGCCAGAGATTGCTGCAATGCCTCCATTCCTTGTGACAGAGCGTCTTCAGCTTGCTGCGATGATTGCTGCAAGTTGCAGATGCCCACCAACTGCTGCTCAGTTAAGGGCTCCAATTGATTCACGAGTAGCTGCAAAGATTTCCAGTTCAGTTCAAAGTCCAATTGAAATTTCAAGGTTTGAAGTATTTTAACAGTTATAGTCAAAGTTATTGATGAAGAAATGTGATGGCCTCTTACTTAAAATCATCCAAAGCTGAGACAATAACAATAAAAATAACAATTACAATAATCTGTGGTTCGCTATAATGACACTGGACTAGATAATGTACTTTCGACCACTTTCTAATGTGCCAATTCAGAAGAGAGAACATGAAAAAGAATTCTCACCTTCAGAAGCTCAGATGAGCGGAAGCCACCAATCCACATGAAACACCGTTCTGCTGGTGTCTTCCACATTCCGGAAAGAATGTGGAAAACATCAGCTTTTGCTGCAATGCCCTTCAGCCTAAATATGTCATCAAAATGTGCTGTAACATTGTCAACGATTGTACGAAGCTCAGTGTCTCCAGCGTGCGAATTGACTGCAGCCCTCAACTCATTAATCTGCCTATTGTGCTCCTCTAGCCAACGAGCATATTCCACATCAAACGCCAAGGCACCTAGATATCAGTAAATAAAAAATAATTAACTAACTCCTACTATATTTTCTAGCTCGAAGAAAGAAAAACCAGAACACAATTTTTGTGTTAGCAACGTGAGCATCATCATTGTGAGCCAAACGAAAAAGTCATGAGCATCATGCAAGAAGAAAAAAGTAGAGGTCTGCAATCAAATGACTAAATGCCATGCAGAAGAGTGATAACAAATACAATAATAAAGAGAAAAGAGACAAACGGTAGGGTCAAAGGATTTATGGCAGGGGTCAACATCAGGTGGGTTGAGTAGGATTTTGAAATATTTCAATCCACCCAATCAAGTTTGGATGGATTGATTTCAAATTCAACCAGCCCAATCAACCCAAAGTTTAAAATTAACACCCAATTAAAATTTGGGTGGGTTGGGTGGATTTAGCGGGTTGAATATTATTTAAAGGAAATAAAAAGTAAAGAGAAAAAAAATAAAAAACAATGCTAACTATTGAACCTAAAATTGAGAAATATATGAAAACAAAGCTAACTTTCATCAATAATATTTGTATCATAAAGTTTCAAAATTATCTCGTAAATTATAAACCAACATAAAAATAATATATCTTATGAAAAAAACATAAAAATAAAATATATGCAAAATAAGTTAATATATAAGTTATAAACCAACAAACAAATAATAATAAAAACTCATACAACATAAAACGTTGTAGGTTGCCAATTAATTGAATATAAGTCAAATACAATATCTTATAAGGTAGAAAAAAATTTACTTATATATGTATAAACAGTTTGGGTGGGTTTCGGGTTAAGTTGGATTATGAAAAACTCAACCCAAACCCACCCGATTAATAGTCGGCCTAAGTGGTTAGGTTGATCTCCTGATCGGGTTGGCCGGGTCAGGTTGGGTGGGTAAATTGGGTTCTTTTTTTGGTTGAAGTATAATTTTATTTATTTCACAGGGAATTTATTACAAGTGGTGGTTGATGTCCCATTTCTTCCTACGGCTCTTTTATATAGGAAACCACTATTAGAGACATCATACAAAAGACAACATCCTATATTACAATCATATAGGCCTAATTAATGCTACATGTTATATTACATAGGAATCTACGACAACACATGCAGGTTCACATGATTATATTAAACACATAACATTCTTAGCCAAAGTCTTCACATAGCTTTCATATGATCTTCACGTGGCATTAATAGAAGTCTTGTCTCCTTCCATAAATGCTCTTCATTAATGAAAATCTTCATTTAATGCTTCTTGTCTTCTTCGTTGAATGGAAGGATTGGCATCTACATAGCCTTAGTATCTTAAATAATATTTACCATCATGAAACTTGTGCATGGATTTATTTCACCGTCACCTCACATATGTACACATCCACAAATATCTTATAATATTATATTAAGGTATAGGGGTTAAAATAATCCAAAAATAAAACCCTAAAATTCTAATAAAAACCCTAGTCTATGGAGTCAGCTACCTCTCGAGCTCATAAGAAACATCATCTTACGCATTATTGATCAAAGAATACGTAATAATAAGATGATAAGAAAAATTAGTCAACTGCTTGGAAGAAGTTGAGAAATAGAATGTGAAAAAAAGATCTTGCAGAACTCACAACAGATATTATGTTGAGTGTTCCGAGAGAGACCATATCATATAAGTCTTTTCACTAAGACATATGTTCACAAACATGATCATTATAAACCAGTTTTCATGTACCATGCTTTTCTTCAGACAGATAATGAACCTGTCAACACTGAGCTACTACACGTATTGGCTACTTCTTAATCTCCGGCCAATGGTAATATATTTTGAACTAGCAGTCATGAAGACGAATTAGGCACTCGGCTATGGACACTTCACGTTCAGGATGTTTAAGTTAGTAATAAATGACTTTCAAAGGAGGATTCGAGCTCACAAAGCCCACAATTATCATCATCAGGCTATCTGTTTTTTAGAGTGATCTTATTGAACCTATGATTATCCTAGTAGATCATGCTCATCCTGATTTCCACTCTTATTGGCCTCATAACTCCTTTTATGGATGTATGACAGTACAACGTGCCTTATCTAAAATCTATGGTGGACCCCCATTACAAAGAAAATTCTTTACTCCACCAAGGTCACCAACCTCTCCACTTGCCCAACGATATCTTGATGGTGTGGTTTGAAGCAAAAGCAAACATGAGAGAACCACCTGAGGAGCTAGACTCGGATGATGGCTCATATTCATCTGTTGACATGGAACTTATCGACATGGGTTCCTGGCACAACAGTGACTGGCTTTCTAGCGATGAAGACTAAGCCACAAAAGCGTGGTGGGTTTAGTGTTTAGGGTTTAAGGTTTAGTGTCTAGGATTAGGGTTTAAGAGTAGACATTAGGATGAACATGATCTACTAGAATAATCATAGGTTCAATAAGATCACCGCAAAATCAGATAGCCTGATGATGATAACTTGGGCTTTGTTAGCTCAAATCCTCCTTTGAAAGTCAAGTTGTGAAAGTCAGTTATTACTAACTTAAACACCTTGAACATGAAGTGTCCATAGTTGAGTGTCCAATTCGTCTTCATGACCCCCGGTTCAAAATATATTGCCACTGGCCAAAGATTAAGAAGTAGCTAGTACGTGTAGTAGCTCAGTGTTGACAGGTTCATCATCTGTCTGGAGAAAAGTACGGTACACGAAAACTGGTCAATGATCCCGTTTGTGAACATATATCTTAGGGAAAAGACTGCATGATACAGTCTCTCTGGGAATGGTAGTACACTCAGCATAATATCTGTTGTGAGTTCTGCAAGATCTTTTCCTGTCTTCTTTTCACATTCTACTTCCCGTCTTCTTCCAAGCAGTTACTAATTTTCCTCATCATCTCATCATTACATATTCTTGGATCAATAATGCATAAGATGATGTTTCCTATGAGCTCTGGATGTAACTGACTCCATAGACTAGGGTTTTTATTAGAGTTTTTAGGGTTTCATTTTTGGATTATTTTAATCCCAATACCCTAATGACAATACCCTAATCCCTATACCCTAATATAATATAATAATATTATATTAGAATATTTGTGGATATCTACATATGTGAGAAAACGGTGAAATAAATCCATACACAAGTTTCATGATATTAAATATTATCCAAGATAGCTAAGCTACGTAGATGCCAATACTTCCATTGAACAAAGAAGACGAGAAACATTAAATGAAGATTTTCATTAATGAAGAGCATTTATGGAAGGAGACAAGACTTCAATTAATGACATGTGAAGATCATATGAAAGCTAAGTGAAGACTTTGGCTAGGAATGTGATGTGTTTGTTGTAGATTCTTATGTAATATAACATGTAGCATTAATTAGGCCCATATGATTGTAATATAGAATGTTGTCTTTTGTATGATGTCTCTGATAGTGGTTTCCTATATAAAAGAACCGTAGGAAGTAATTGAAACATCAACCACTACTTGTAATAAATCCCCTATGAAATAAATAAAGTTATACTTCAGCAAGTTACACTTCAGCCGAAAGCTCTGTGCCCACTTAATAGTCACTTTATATTCTAACTCTTTAATAGTATAGTATACTTTGGTTTACTATACACATAGTAAGGTAAAGGTTATATTATACTTAGGATGTTGCCATCAAGTATATTCTACTGTTATTACTATGTTTTGCTTTGTGTGTATTTTAGTATTGACGTGTTATTAATATATACGTTATAAATAAATATATTAAATAAAGGATACTAGGGTTTAAGATTTAGGTCTTAGGGTTTATGGTTTTATGTCTAGGGTTTAGGGTTTTCTTTTTGTGTCGGCTTGTTGGGTTTTTTGTTCATCCCATTTGATCATTGGCAAAGCAAACATAGAAAAAATTAGGCGAGGGAGTTCAAATACCATTTCCACTCATGGAATGTGATTGGTCTCCTGAGCTAGAAATAAATATGCCCTGCAAACAAATACAGTAAAAACTATGAGGGAAAATTTTCCACAGCCTGTCAGACCGCAAACCGAAACACAAAATAGTACATAAGACGAAGAAAATGTCAAAGGGGTCAATGGATGATAAATCAAAACCTGTTGGCGGGCACGCTGGAGTTCTTGCTCCAGCTGGGTTAGTTTCAGCCGGCTACTCTCAAGCTGTTGTACATATGCCTGAAGATAAAGATAGTAAAGCAATTAATAGTCAAATGACAAGGAATGCCTGAAGAAAATATTAGCACTTCTACCTGTAGTTAAACACAACTAATAAAACAGAACAAGGCATACGACCAGGACCATATAAACCCATGGTCAGTACATACAAACATAGCTTTTGTCTCATCGTTAGCATAAAATCATCATTATAAAACTCGACATACTTTTTTCCGTAATCGGCTTTTCCTAGCAGCTTCACGATTTTGGGCAAGCCGGCGTAGAGTCTGCAAAATTTTTTAGTTAATCAATTAGTATATTCATAATGTCACACTGTAATTACATCAACATATTATGTTTTGAATAAACCTTTTGGTCCCCTGCTTTTTCTTTTGATTTGTCACTCGAATCAGAAGCTGCAACAACAGCCAATTGATTCCTTTCAAGCTGCATGAGAAAAATAAGTATTTTAAGAATCTGCCCTCAAACAGCAGACGGGTTTTCTGAAGGAAGCTTAATGTACTAACATTCAGAACAGTTTTTCTTGCAAATAATATTAGATGTTAAGTAGAACTTTTAGAAGGCATTGAATTTCAGAGATGGGATAAGCATTGTAAACATAATAATGTGCTTCCTGAGCAACATATGAAAGAAACATCACCCCTTGGTTCTTCTCATCCGTGTCATCTGTTGACGTGTCAGTCCTAGGGCTTGCATCTGCCATACTGGACTCGCCCCAGTTCTCACGAATACAGCCAGATACTGATGCTACTTTTGTTTGCGAATCTTTTGGTAATGATACCGTCTGAGACCCCACAAAAGATGACATTTTTACATCTGAGGGCCCGAGTGACTGAAACTCCAACCACACACACATAAAAGAGTAAAGAGTGAGAGAGGAGAAAGCAAGGACTGCTGTTGATTCTCTTCATCTTCTAGAAAATGAAAATGAAAGAAAAATGAAGAGAATGTAAACTTACCTTATTTAGCCCGCCAAATTGGACATCATTACCCAATGCCTGACCGCTTGATTTAATTTGATTGAATAGAGAATCTAAAAGATTAAAGATTTATCAAGACGGCGAAGAATGAGACTGTTCATTGAAAGAAATTCAACTTTGCAGAACACACTACACTTCCACCCATGCAAAAAATCAACTCTTTGCAAAAATGTCCCCGCATACTACCAGAAATAATGTCTCAAAGCATCATACATGAAGAAAGCCATGCTTTTCTATGGCATACTAAACAAAAAGTGAAGTGTCTGCATACTCTATAGAAACATTCTAAGAGATGGTAAAATCAATATTTTCAAGAATAAAACGCAGTAGGTATATAGTCCCATTCAAAAATTTACAACCACAAAGATGATACAAGTAGCCTAAACAAGAATTTAAGCTGCATCCATTTACAAGCCAAAGCACCAACAAAGTGCAAACTTAATCCTTTATTAAGAACGTATCGTAGAGGGATAAAGCCTAATATGAGATGAGAGAAACAATGCATTCCACTTACTAGTTCAGTAAGGAATGTCTGGTCAGTAAAATACAAAAAAGTACCTCGACATGACAAACAAATTTTCACCGTAAGAAACAGAATGAATTAGAATATGACTACAAAAAAGTTTTTTTTTTTTAATAAACTAATGTAATTTTGAGAAAAACAAGGCTTTATTTGCATACTTCTGGTGATGTCAACAGCATCCTCTATGCGAAATCCAAGCGATTGCTCAAGAGTTCCAAAATCTAAAATTCGAGAAGAGCGGATACTGCTACCTTCTGTGCCACTGAAAACCAGAAACCATAAATTCAAGTTTCACAGAAAATGATATGCCAATCAGCAAACTATCTAATCTAAGTAACCTAGTTATGTAGGAATAGGATAAGCTAAAATGGTAGATTCACAACTTAGCAACCAATACATAAAAAGTCCACAAGCTAAAGAAACCTGTTTTGGGTCATGTAATAATCTAAAGCTATAATTTTTAAAAATTGTGGCAGTAACTTCAAAAATACTTGAATCACTACAAAATTAAAACACTGCTGCAATAACACGGAAATCAAATTGCAACAAAGAAATTCTTCCACAAATTATCAAGTTAATACAATATGCTTGGTTAGACATAAAAAATGTTTCACTTGATTTTCATAGCCATAAAAATTCACACATGGCCGACACGAGGTTTCCTCGCTCATTAGGACAAACTTAACTCCTTGCAAGAATGCCCTGACACTGGCTCTTTCTTCTCCATAAGCTTATTTCCCCCCTTTAACAATCACACCAGTATACCCTAAAGCACATCCAATAGCGAGAAAAAACTTCTTTTGCCACACCATTAGCTCACTAAGCAATGGTTGATTCCTCAAACGATTTCAGATTACCCTTCAACACATAACCGTCTATCAACCAACCAAACAAAACCACTGCAACTTATTTGTCTATGAAAGGTTTGAAAAAGATAAATATAAATGAACCCTATAATCAATTGCAGATAAGTCCACATCACCTCTTGTCCCAATTAACGACAGAAAAGGACAAACTTTAAACCTGGGCAGTATTTCCTCTTTACCTCTAATTGTCAGACCACAAGATTTCAATTCCAACAGTACTTGTATATCAAACATTTCTAGTACATAAATGGACATTTTCACCTTGCAAGACCTACACCAATGGCTGGACCCAACTAAGAAACCACCGGGACCCACCAAGACAAATACACCATTCAAAGAGGACAAACATGAAGTATTAACAAGTAACCAAAAGACAAAATGGAGCAAAAATCTCAACAAATTGCCATAATTTTTAAGTAGAAGTATTTGATAATTTACATTGGATTTGGAGCTGATATTGGAGGAACGTAGCTCGGCATGATCTCGTTCACAACTTTGTTACCATCATTTGCACCAACTTTCACTCCTCTACTACCCATGAATCACCATCATCTCCAACAAAATGGAATTCAAAAACGCACAAACCTTTTCACCAAAACCAACAAAAAAACGTTACATAAATGATCACAAGTAACTAACTTAATTCAAAAACCAAAACCACAAGCTATCAGCTAAAAAGGGCCAATACCCACGTCAAAAACACAGCTAAAAATAACAAATTAAGCCTCTTTTCAAAAAAAAAAAAAAGAAAAAAGAAAACTTAAACGCAAGTACAGAACCTTCCGTACAAGAACAAGCTTAATAAAAAGAGTTGTTAGTAAGTAGACCCCAAAATTCTTCAAATACCTAATAATTATTAAACTATACAGACCCCAAAAAAGAAAATGAAAAATCAGCTTAAGCTTAAAGTAAAACAAAAAAGAAAAAAAGAAAAACTAACCCAAGACGACGTTGATGAAGAAAAGGAGCTCCAAAACACTGGAATTTCCAGAAACTGAGCTGAACCCAGAAGCTGAAGTCGATAAAACTGCTCGAAAAAACCCTAACCCGTGAAGCTTCTTCAAGATAAATACAATCTCTCTCTTCTCCTTTTTTTTTTTTGACTTTTCGACCGTATGTGCTGTGTTGAAGAACAGTAGTATTATAAAATACACCAGTCTCTCTCTCTCTCTCTCTCCCTTTCTCTCTCTAGAAAACGAAAATTTCAACAGGCCCACCTTGAATTTTGAGCGCATTTTTTATTCACCATTTTCCCTTTCTTAAAAGGGGTTTTTGGAGAGAGAAAGAGAGAAGAAGCGTAACGTTCAGATCATTCCAATCTCCTTCATATGTCCTTTTCTTCAGAGAAATAAAAAAGAAAAAATATATACTTTTTTCCCACCATTTTCTTATTTTCCCTTGTCTTTAATGATTTATGTGTTGTTTGGTCAGAAAATTTATAATCCAATTTAAATTATAATTTATTATTTATTATAATATTTTTTTTTATAAAAAATATATATAAATTAAAAATAGTTTTAATGAATCAAACGTGTCTTTATTTTATTTATTTCATTTATACCGCTTTACGAATTGTGGACCTTTCCTGCTTTGTCCCTATTTTTATGGGTTCAATGTTGTAGTAATAAATTTCCTTAAAGTTCGTCATAATAGCATTAAGGTCCTCACTAGACTTGTTATTCTCATGAATAGTCCTCTTCTAAAACGGTATCTTCTTTTTCTCCTTTCTTTTTGCCCCTCCAAAGTAGGAATGGCAATATTTCTCGCGGGGGCGGAGACGGCCCTGAATAAGGCGGGAATGAGGAACAATTATCGAAAATGAAGATGGGGATAGAGACAATATTTAGTCCTTAATTTGTGGTGGGGTAGGAATGGGAGAAATACTCTCCACCCAGCCTCTGCTATGATATTAATGTGTTGTTTTTTTATGTAATTATATATGTACACACACATCTCTTAAAATTTAAGTTTTTTAAATTATGATTCTTGAGAAAAAATAGCATGCAACCATGCAATTAAGATTGAAGCTATTAGGAATAGACAATGAAGGATAATTTGTGTTTATATTTTTATGTTTTTAAACTTTTTTCGATTATACATTAGTTATTACTTTTAGATTTAATTCTCAATATGTTAAGAATTTAGTTTTTTTTTTATAAAACTTTTAGTTTTGGTATAAATTTATAATGAATTTCTATTCTATTTTTATTTTAAATTGTTATAATTTTTAAATACATAATCTTATATGATGAGAAATGAGTTAAGTATGGAGAATGTTTCATTAATGGGGAAATCCCCAACTCTGATCTCGCCCCTCCTTAAGCGGAGATAGAAACAGGAAAAGAGACAGTTTAAGGAGGCTGAGATGGGGATGAAAAATCATCCTCTATCTCCACCCCGCCCCATTGCCATCCTTACTCTAAAGGCACTTCAAGTTTTTTTTTTTTTTTTTTTTTTTTTTTTTTTGTTTTGTTGAAAATGAGGAAATTGCATTCAAAAATCAGATTCAAGTTTTGAGCCATCTGTAGTCTGATTTTAAAGTTTGACATTTTAACTAACTTTGTGGGGAAGTAATGTATAGCAGCTCAATTACGAAATGATACGGTCACACATACCAATTATATCTATATGCGCTAAGCACCAATTTATAGTAAATCTTTAAATTAACTGCTAAATAATGCCACGATTGACTTACAAAGATATAATTCATTTGAGTATGTTAATTATGTAGGCCTAGAAATGATAGAGTTGACATAATGAATGTGAATTATGGACTGCATCGGATTCTTGTTAAAAGCTTGTTTCCTTATAGAGTCTTACCTACCCAATTAAAATCAAATATAAGAAAAAATAGAAATCAATGATTAGAAATAAAGGAGGTTTTACAAGAAGAATAGGTAAATAAAGGCGGCCCTCGTTCTATTGTCAGAGGGAGAAAGCCTTGACAACCAAAATATGGTGAATGTCTTGGATTCTTTTATCTCGTTGAATGTGCAAACAATTGGGATACTGGCAATTTAAATTTAAATTCCGTTTGTTTCATATACTTAAATTTAAATTATTGATTATGTTATAATTTTTTTCTTATGAAAAATTTGAATTCAAACATTAAAATTAATAATCATAGTTTGAGTATATCTTTTAAACAGGCTTTAAAAGTCGCAAAAAAAAAAAGAAAAAAATTGAGCATTTACTCTTAATAGTGCACGAGTCTAAACTTTTACTTTTTATTCTTGATAAATACCCTTTTATTAGTGTAATTATTTAATTAAAAAAATTATAAATAAATAATAAATGATAAAAATTCAGACACATACACTTTTAAAAAAGTATGTGTCAAGATTCTCCCGGTCTTTATTTCTTTTCTTGTTCTTTCATTTGACTCAGGGGAATTAGCAAGATTTGTGCACCTGTTCCTGTTATGTCCCTTTTGGTTTACTAATTTTCTTGGTTAGGTTGCTTCTTCTTTCATCCTCCACTGCCTCTGAGTAGGTTGTTTTATTGGGATGTTGTTGGTTTGTGTTGTGTATGTATAAATGAAGCTTATTTTTGAAAAAAAAAAATCAAGAATTCAATGTCTCTAGAGATCATTATTGTTTAACTTATTTTATTTGGTATGCTTGGAAAGTAATGCGGTATTTAGATCATCTTTGATGTCCAATGTTAATATTAAGTTTAGTGCGAAAAAGACCAAAAAATTATGGGCCAGTTGATATTGTTGTGTTGTTAAAATTTTTATTATTATTATGCTGTTAGTAATAAGATATTGTGACACAAAATATATATGTATTTGGTAAATATTTTTACAAAATTGCTGTCAATACCAAAAGTAGAAATTTAAAGTGTTTAATAAACTATATATAAAATTACTCTAGAGAGGTATATGATGAAAGTAGACATATTTAACACTAGTTTTATTTTTATTTTTATGGTTAATATTCAAAATATAAAAATTATAATTTTAATGTTATTGATTAAAATATTTCTTAAAAAATAAATCACTTTTATTGATAGGAAAAATTATTCATCTATTAAATATCTTATTTATTGTTATTATTTTAAACATTTTGATAATTACTAAAAATACTTGAATAAAATTTAGCAGAGTATATTTATTAAAGATTTTCAACTTTTAAATAATTATTTTTAAAATATATGTTTCATAGAATATTTATTGAAGATTTTCAACTTTTAAATAAATATTTTAAAAATATATGTTTTTTAATTTGGTATGAAAAAAGTAAAATATGTAGATTGAGAATTAAATTTTATTATTAAAGTAATTTTCGTAAATTTAGACAATGGCAGCAGAAACTGCTGTGCAAAAGTAACCCCTAATTCTCAAATTTTATTGTTTGACAGTAGTTTTTAGAAGCTTATGATCAAAAGCAAGATTTATCAAACACCATAACATGATGTAGTTTCTTTAAAAAAACTAAAAACAACCTCTAAAAGCAATGCCAAACAAGTCCTTTATTTAGCGCAATTAATCATTTTATTTTTTGATGTTCTAATGTCATTTTACAATGTCATATTTAAGGCCCGTTTAGTTTGCTGATTCGAGTTTTTAATTCAAATTGAAATGTGACTTTATATTAGAGCTTTTTACTGTAGTAAAAAAGTTAGATATAACTACTTCTTATAGTTTTTTACTGTAACAAAACGCGAATCGATAAAATAAACGGAGCCTTACATTACCATATACTTCCCACAACTTTAAAATGTCAGTTTATTTATTTTTAGTACCAAGTGCTAATGTCACTTTTATCGCATTGTTTTTACAATAAAAAAAAAAAGATTCAAAATGTAAAGAATGAGGACTTTGTAAAAGTTCAACGATTCAATTGCAATGTTAAAATTTGACATATATTATACTTATGTTAAATTCGATACATACAGCATATATCAAATATAACAGAAAAAAAATTTGGGCTATATTTTACAAAAAGTTTTGTACCCAAATATTAAATTTTAAGCATTTAAAACGCTCTTACTCACCATTATAAATTGCAACTCACTCCATAATTCTCTCAAGAAGTTTTAAATCAGATGTTATTTCTTAACTTCACTCAAGAGTCAAGAATGTGACAGACTACTTTGATTTCATTCCTGAGGTAATGACTTACTCTGAGTAGCGCAGGACATATGATAGAAGTTAATTTCAAAATATTTTAATGTAATTCTGATGGCCTAGAGTAGTTGTAAATTTTATGGGTTTGTTTTACATATTTCAGTTTCAGCAACTAATGGCAGAGCTCAATGAAATCTTAGCTCATGATGTTGTTGTTGACTAAGGGCCCGTTTAGTTTGTTGATTCGAATTTTTAATTTGAGTTGAGATGTGACTTTATGTGAAAGTTTTTTACTGTAGTAAAAACGTTAGATGTGACTGTTTCTCAGAGCTTTTTACTGTAACAAAACTCAAATTCTAAACTCAAATTAGTAAAATAAATGACACCTAAGAAGGAACGCAAAAGAAGAAACTCCGCAGCCAATCTCTCTACCTCTTTGAGTTTTTGCCTCCAGCAAAAATGTGATAATAAATCTCAGAATATACTTGATTAAGATTTTTTCTTCTTTTTTTTTCTTTTTGTCTCAGAATACCGGTTATGTCCCTTAGAACCCCACATGTGATTTGCATGTGCTTGGTTCCGTTAGTTTTTTAAATTAGAATTATTTTTAAGTTATTTTATTTAATGTTTATTTATAATATTATTTAAGATTAAACAGAATTAGAAGTTTAGTTACTATTAGGACTTATATGCCTATGTAACAAAATAAATAATACAACATCAAGTTTTAAAAAAAAAACCAAATTGAAGTTTCAAAACATAAATATTAGTGTACTTTCTTTTCCTACCCAAGTAAATGAGAAATACTCTAGCAACCAGCCATCTTTACACTTCCAAATAAAAAAAACTACAACTTATAGAACAGTAAATTACATATAAAGTTATGGTTAGTACAACTCAAGTTACAATTTTATTTAAGTTCACGTTCTTTTAAGTTTTAATTTTATTCAACTTTACTCAACTTTATTTAAGTTACAACTTTAACTCAAGTTATAACTCAAATTCAACTTAAAAATTATACTCAAATTACACTCTAAAAGAACAATCATGTAATATTGCAAACACCCACGGTACGTAGAAACATGAACAAAATTTCTCCGCTATTTCCAAAATTTCCATCCAAATTTTAGAATTTCTTAGATCCCAAATATCTTTTAGATGTAAAAAGCTTACCATCAATATTTTGGGGAAATTTTGATTAATAGCGAGGAATATTGGTAAACATAAAAATTTCGTTG